GTTCTTCTCAGCCAGGAAGTGTGGGGTGATCAGGACATTGTGAGCAGGTGTGTTGTCATGGTGACTTGTCCTGCCACAACTCTAACCTCTTCTCATGTACTGAACAAAGCAAATGCCACAGGATCTCTTTGTAGACGTGCTGGTTGTTTGTCTGAAGGGGAAAACTCGTAGTTTGTAGTTTGGGTTTGAAATCTATCTTTTGTGACACCAGTCCTGGAACTTTTCTGACACATCTTGGAAGTACACTGTCACTAATGAAGCGTTCGGTGGGTGTATACCACCATTTCAGATCTTATCAGTCCATCAGAAGGCTGCTCCTCCACCTTCTACTGGGCAATTTAAGCGGCTATCGTCCCATTTAGTGGTAAAATATTTGCAAAGAGTAACGAATGTCCGCGTTTGGAGGTTGGAGGGGTTAACTTTGGCGCAAGTCAGTCGACTTTCATCCAGAAGACCAGAGTTTACTCCCATCTTAAACTGTTCTTATGGTAGTTTTTATTTATTTATTTTTACTTCAGTCTTCTTTTGCTTTATGCTAAATTTAAACAACAAAACTCCACCAGAGATTTGAAATTCTGCACTTATTCACATGATCTCAAGATGCCTCCTGTGTGGTCAGGGTTCCTCTCTGTTTATCTGTGATCTTAATGGACGATAATGCATCTTAGCAGCCAACCAGGACAAGTGGTGATGAGGTCATAATGATTTAATGGGTTTCTAACCTCAAAATAGGATGGTGTATACTTATTTCTTTGCAGCAAAGATTTTTAATTTCAGTTTAACTTCAAGCTTAAACCCTCGGTGTGAAACCTCTACACTTGCCTGCCCAGCTGCTGGTCACGCTCCGAAGTTTTACAGCAGTACAAGACTTGTGATCCAGTGTGTCACAATTGGGAATCAGCTGCACCACACTGCCGTCTTTGAGCTGGAAAAATTCATTTGGCTTTTTGAAGCTCCAGCCTCGGCTCATCACGTCCTCATCAAAGGTGCATGTCAGTTCCGGCTCGGACAAGTAGCACACTGTAGAGTTGGGAGCCTCCATGGTGACCATTCCTGTGTTGAAAAAGCAACAGAAATACGCAGAAGTATAAATTATGAGAAGGCTCCCAATAAACGCAGAGCCTGTCATCGTCAATCTGATCCGAAAATACATTCAGTACAATCAATAGATTTACTGCAGATCTGTATCATGAGCCCCGACTAGATCAGAGCCACGTCATGTTCTGTTACCCTAAAGATTAGAAAACTCATCCATTATCATAATATATCAGTGCATTCACATCAATGTGTTATAAATACAATAAGTATTTTTTCTACATATACAAGAATCTTTGCAACATCAGTATTTTTTTTATATGGAATAATGATAATGTGCAACGTGAGAGCAATATCTGAATTTCTACATATGGAAGAATCTGGACGTTATCAACAGGACTTGTGTGCAGGTGAGTAAAAAGTGCAATATTTGTTTCCAAAATTCTCGAGTAAAGTACTTGAAAATGTAACTTAAAACAACTTACTCGACTTCCTCTTGCATGCTTAAATATACTTTTAGTTTCATTTATCTTACAAGATTGTCAATCTGTGGCCAAATCCCTGAGAATAAACAGCAACGGTTTTTTACCAACCTACTGTGTCGACTTTGATTGCTGCTTGGAGACTTTCTTTCAGTCCATCCACTATTTTTTGAAGTTTAGTGGTGGGGAATTTGGCACTGACAGCTACCTCAAATTCAGCAGTGGTGGTGGATCTGGAGAGGATTAAAGCGACATGAGTGGTTAATGACAAAGAATGTGATTAGTTAACAACACATCGATACGGAAAGTATCTGTGTTGAAAAAATGTGATGTTTTCTGGTCAGGAAAAGCTTGATCTGATGCAGTCCTGTTGATTTGTCAGCGAACAAATCGACAGGATTGCATTAGATCCAAAAACAACTAGGCCGGTCCATTTGGTCACAGAGTTTACCGAAAAATCTGGCATCACGGTAAACTGTTTGCAGTTCATTCACCTTAGAAATGTAAGATCTTCTGCTGCCTTAAACATGTGAATTGACCACATTTAGGCTGCCTCGTTAGATTCATCTTATGAACTGGATTCAGTGCAAACCTTTGAGAAGTGTTTCGATTATTATGAAAAGAAATAACCAGAACTCAGTTTAAAAAAGACGCACAGCAAGTTTCCACTTTGTCTGTTTTCTAAAATTACCAAAAAAAAGAAAGAGTCTCTGGGCAGTTTTAACTTTTTAACAATGCATCCTGAAAAGTCGGCTTTTTTTTTCTTTTTAAATAAACTCAATTTATCGAGTTGAGTAAATTACCAGCAGTTGATTTATTTAACGAAGTCACACTGGCTCAAGTCATGAGAGCTCATGTCTTTAAGTTCTAACATGCTCGAAAAATAAAAAATATATGAAACTGACTAGAAATGAGCCAAATTCATATATTTAAATTAAGTAGACAAGTTGATTCAACTAAGTCCCTTTACAATGTTTTACAGTACTCTTTTCATAATCACACTTTAATGTCTTACATTTCAAGGCAGCTGGATTCTCACAAGATTAATGGGATCACAAGAGAATCCGTGTTACAGGCTTCATGGGTAAGGCAGGGCATGATCGACGATAACAGACAGAGGATTTTTGTCTGCTTTTTAATACGTCTGACGGTTTTGTGTAACAAACCATCTGTTGCTTCAGGTTTATATTTCTCA